AAATCAAATCAAATTCAAATTGAAAGATCAAATATTTGATTTGATTTAAAATTATTTATAAATAATTAAAATTTGAAAAGTTATAGTTCTAGGGACTATTTTCTCAAAATTTTATTAAGATAATTACTAATTTGGTTCTATGAAACTAGGGCTATTTGATTAGAAAACCATTTTTTATTTAATATACAAAATCAATTTACTTAATAAAATTTTAAAAAAATCAAAGATATTTATAAATAACTAAAATTTAAAGAGTTATAGTTATATAAGCCATTTTTTTGAAATTTTATTAAGATTATCACTAATTTGGTTCTATGAAACTAGGATTATTTTGTTTAGTAACCCATTTTTTATTTAATATATAAAATCGATTTATTTAATAAAATTTTTAAAAAAATTGAAGATATTTAATTTATAAACAACTAAAATTTAAAGAGTTATAGTTCTAAAGGCTATTTTTTCAAAATTTTATATAAAACTAGGGCTATTTTGATTAGAAGAATATTTTTTATTGTCTATAACTAAATTTAACCGGGAGTGATTTCACCTAGGTAATATCACCTATATATTTAATTTGATAGTCTATCAAATTAAATTATTTTTATTGACTTTTTTTTACATCTAATCGCATTCTCTTTCTCTACATCAAAATACACTTTTTCAAATAAAACTAACCATTATTTTTCATTTATTTATCATGAAGCCCAAGAAGTTCTATTACACTTCATCAGTTCCTACGGGTCAAACGTCGAATACATCATTGTCGTCATCTTATTTCAACACCTATAATCATGATCAAATAGATAGCTCATCGCCCTCTCATTTTAACATCTACGAACAGGATATTACACCTGATTTTTCGCTACCTTGTTTTAATACATACAAACTCGCCTTACCTTATTATAGCTATGAACATAATATTGCAAACGTTTCATCGTTTTATCCAAACGCCTATGAGTACTATGATAATGTAAATACTTTGTCATCACCTTACTCAGCCCTATGGATATGATAGTGCTATGTCAACCTATGTTAATTTCCAAAGCTCTAGTGATTCGTTGACTGAATTGGATGTTGAGGCTCAACCAGAAGGTGCAAATAATGGGATTTATGATGAGAGGAAATATAATGAGCACGAAGATAGTGAAAATGAGGAGGAAGGAAAAAATAATTTATTAGTACTACATAAAGGAATGAAGTTTAGTACATGGGAACTTGCTGAATCATACCTTACCGATTATGCGAAGCAGGAGGGTTCAGCTTTCGAAAGAGAAGATGGGTTGTTGACTCTGATGACTACACCATAACAAGATGGCAAACATATGAATATTCACATGCTCGGATACATGAATCTGAAAAGGCTATTCTGGCAGAAGATAGGAGAGACAAAGATTCTGAAATGATCGATTGTCCTTGGCACATTAATTTGGCATTTTCTAAAATAGAGAAAGAAGTTCGTATTAACAGTATTTTAGGTGAACACAATCACAAAATGAACACTCTTGTCTGAAAAAGTCAAATTTTGGACTATTCATAGAAAATTAAGCTTACCAACCCAATATAATTTGTTAGTTGTATCATTTCCAGGCCAAGTTATTAATAAGAAAGATTTAAGTAATACAATTCAGCAGTTCAAAAGTCAGGTGAAACCTAGTAAAAATGATGCATGTAGAATGCTCAATGACTTATATTCAAAGAAAGAAAAAAATCCAATGTGGATAGTTAATCCACGGTTTGATTCAGATGAAAGATGACTTAACTTATTGTTCTAGATGGCTCCAATCAAATTAGCGCTTATGAACGATATCATGATGTTGTAGTCGTAGACACAACATCCAAAACCAACCAGTTTGACATGATATTGATGCTATTTATAGTGGTTGATAACAATTTCAGAAATTTGATTGTGGCATTAGCAATTATTGAGGACGAAACTGAATCAACATTTACCTGGATTTTGCAAGAGCTTAAAAATTCGTGTGAAATTGCACCTACAGTGCTATATTCTGATGCTGATCCTGCTTTACTATCAGCTGTGTGAAAGAACTATCCACATACACGACATATCCATTGTAGCTTCCACATTGATTTAAATTTAAGAAAGAAGCTTAAAGGTACATTACATGAACAATTCAAGCCTTTTCGTACTAGGTTTTTGGAGATGCGTAATACTTTATGCCATAAGAAATTTGAATCAAAATGGGAAAACCTTATTAATGAATATCCAGCGTGTAAAAGTTATCTTATGAATGTTTTATACCCCTGTAAGACGAGTTGGGCGAGTTATACCATAAATCGATATTTTACCATAGGAATTCAGAGTATCCAGTGAGCCGAAGTAACCAATAAAATTATCAAAGATAAACTCAGCAGAACTTCACGGCTAACAAATATTGTTGGAGAGATTCAAACAATATTTGATCAACAATCAAAAAAGTCAGTATAAAATTATTCTTATTAGGTTGTTTCAACATGCTCTTTAAAGTAACAATGCTTGTTTTTTTTTATTTTCAATGTTTGGAGAGTAGCAGAGAACTCAAAATAATACCAAAATTTGTTATTGATGCATTTTAATAAAAATATCAAAACATAACTTTGAATCTTATGTTTATTATCATTGTTAGAAAGTTCAGAGTTACATTTTTGATATTTTTATTAAAGATGCATCAAAAATAAAAATTTTAGTATCATTTAGAGTCCATTGCTATTTTCCAAATATTGAAAACAAAAAAACAAGCATTGTTACTTTAAAGAGCATGTTAAAATAAACCTAATTGATATAATTTTATTGTGCAGATTTGCTAGTTCAAGCATTATTACAATTTTGCATTTTATATATTTTACTATTTATATGTTTTACTATTTATACTATCTATATATTTTTATACAGTAATTATAAAAAAGATATAATCTAAACATGAACATGAACATGGATCAGTATTATATACCAAATTTTTTTTGTTGGTACTAGCATTTTATATATCATTATTTTATTAATTTCTTATTTTAGCATAGTCTGTAGTGTTGTTGGGTAGTTTTAACTTCTAATTAAAATGATATAATCTAAACTCTCAGTAAGTGATTAAAACCCTAGTACGAATTAAAGATATATAAAGATATAGTTTAGTTTAAAGAAAAGGACAAGTTTTTTATAATATTAATATTATTGTTTTTTTATTTTTTAAATATTAATATATACTTATTATGACAAGTCTTTTAATATATGCTAATATAGAACTACTAAAATTTAGACTAATTTATCTACAACCTAAATCTACTAGAGTATTCTATACCCCACATATGTCTCATCTAGCTTTATGCTTTCCAACTAACTATTTCTAGTAACTACATATTTCCCATGTCTCAAAATACTAGTTATAATTTCCAATTTGGTAGTGTCAGGTGTTTGCTTCTAATAAGTTTTTAATTTGGTGTATCTGCAAATATGATCACTGCAAATCTTCTTACAGATCCTATTAGTACAGCTGTAATTGGTGCAGGTGGCCTTTCTACAGTCTATATCTCAAGCCAGAAACTTGCTGCCTAGTTAGGTTTGCTATATGACCGAGTTGGTATTTTATTGATAGATTAAGACTTAGCCAGGTACTACTAACCCATATCTCAAACCAAGTTTCTGCTGCCGCTGCTAGTTTGCTATTTCAGAACTTAACATTCTTTTTCTGACATAGTGGTACCAACTAACCTGTTTATACTTCCTCATATAGTATATTACTAGAACTATATTTCGTATGCTGCTTTAATAACCTATCTTGTTAAAGACCAACTAACACTATGAAATTCTTTAAGTAGCAAGCAGCTTTACTTTCAACTATAGGTCTTGTATCATGTTACTAGAAGGTATACTCCAATTTATCTTGATTTTCAACTTGGACTCTCACTTCCATATAGGCAGTATTGTTACAGAACAGTTGTGGACAGTAAGTTTAGACACTTTGGACAATTTTGGACAATTAAATAAATTAAAATTAATCAAAATTTTATTAAGATAACCTATATTAATTTCTAAGTAAAAT